ACAAAGAGTATGAGAGAAAGTATCAAGGCTGAGATGGTAACATTCTCGTTAACCATTGTGGGTGAAAGCAAGTCCCATGGGAGGATGGACATGTCACTGATTTCAGGAAGAAGTTCATATGGATAGATGCCTATCAATACAGTATTATGCCTCCTTTCCACAATTAGCACCTGGGGCCGGCTAGTTGAATGAACCTTGGGAGCGCTTTGTATGGTATCGGAATGAAAAGCTTTGCGAACGTGCTCAGTAAGTGTCCGTAGGTTTCAAGGCGGGCGCGATTATCGTATGGAAGCGGTCTAAAGGCGCTGTACTATATCCAGTACGTTCCGAGTCGGGGTACATACGGTTCACAGAACTTCTTGAACTATAAATGGATGTTGATGCGGGTAACATGACTGGACAGGCGACTGGTGCGTGACTGCGGGCCAGTGAAGATGTACGCATGCGCAGGAGCGAACGCGCCGACTTCGTGTGTCGTGTGCCCATGAATACAGTATTAGACCACCGGTAATTGAGAAGATATGTACACGGCGATATTATCAAATGGAGAAGGAGAACTTGCGATTGAGGATGAACCTCTGGGCTTTAGCGTAAGTTCTGAAGTTAAACGAATAGCGAGTCTGATTGAAGGTTCTTTGTTATGCGCTAGCCGCAGCAAGAACAAGACATATTGGATAACATTGAATTTTTGAGGAGTGCGTCACGATCACTCGTTAAAAGCCTATGCAACGTTGAACAATAAACATGAAAGTCGGAGCGGAGTCTTGGATAAAGATGAACTAGAACAGTGATGATTTCGTTTCAGACACATACTTATACAGTTTGGGTGGAAACGAGTGAAAGAATTGGATTTAAGAAGAATCCGCATCCTTGGGTCGCGGCCTGCACTAGTCGTGTGAAAAACCTTCCTCATCCACCCTCGGCAATCTCCTTTCTCCCCTAAATCAAATACATACAAATATACTGCGAAACTTTGACATCTGGGTATCGACAGAGTGAAGACCCTCCCCTGTACCTCAAGAAAACCGCCAGTCGTCATCGTGAGTATCTCTCTGCTCGTTTCATGCTTTCTACGGATCGGAAGAGGGTATCTGGTTGAAATTGGGGGGAAGGGATATGTGTGAAGGCTGGATGCGTGAAGGAGAGCGTGGATGCAGTTGGTGTTTGTGTAGATGGATTGGGCGCTTTTGCACTCGGTGCCCTCTGGGACGAAGATGCTATAGGAATGGACGCTGACTCTTGCACTTCTTAATAGAATGGGCCTCCAGGAATACCAAGTCGTCGGCCGCCACCTCCCCACGGAGGCTGAGCCCAGCCCCAAAATTTACCGTATGCGCATCTTTGCGCCTAACGAGGTCGTTGCCAAGTCGAGGTTCTGGTATTTCCTCAGGTGCGTCGGATGTCCCTTTCACCACGGTGATGAGAAGATTATATACTGAAAGCGTCGTAGACAACTCAAAAAGGTCAAGAAGGCCAATGGCGAGATCATCGGCGTCAATGTTGTGTGTATTATTTTAAAGTCCCTTGCAGCCCTCAAGAGGCAGGCGGAATGGGAATACTGACCGTAGCCATTGTGCTTTTTTCTTCTTTTCCCCCATTTGTGCCTTTGTGCCAATTGGTATCTGTAGATCCACGAGAAGAAGCCCCTCAAGGTGAAGAACTTCGGTATCTGGCTCCGCTACGACTCGCGTTCCGGAACGCACAACATGTACAAGGAGTTCCGTGACCTCAGCCGTGCGGATGCTGTCAAGAGCCTTTACCAGGACATGGCCGCTAGGCATCGTGCCCGTTTCCGGTCCATCCATGTACGTTGCATCTCTTTATTCCCTTGTACCCGTTCCTTTCCTTTTCCTCGTCTTGATTTCTTCATCACACCTCCTGCTCCTTACCACCCACCCGACTGGATCGCTAACATCACTCACAGATCCTCCGTGTCGTCGAGATCGAGAAGTCCGATGACGTGCGCCGCCCGTACATCAAGCAGCTCATGGTTCCCGGACTCAAGTTCCCCCTCCCCCATCGCGTCGGCAAGATCCGCTCGACATTCGTCGCCAACCGCCCTGCTACTTTCTAAGTGCGCGGCTTGTTGCGCGAGTTGGATGCTTAGTGCTACAGTAGTTTCAGAGGTCGAGGTACTGGAGCAAAGGGCAGGAAAATAGCTAGCGGGGTGTGCGTGCACTCGATATAACTTGTAACGTCGCTATTTACTACTGGTTATGCCTTGATACATTATGATATGCCCGCATGCATTTTTTGATTCACTGGCCACGTCGTTGAGTGAATGAGTACTAGATATCCGTATGTTGTGGACGTTCGATGAGGAGGTGCTGGTGAAGAACTACTAATAGATGGAGAGTCCGCTGTCGTGAACGATGAGTTGGATGCAGATACAGATACCTGCTCATGCTATAAATAATGCATGTACGTACTTCACATCTACAAGCGTATCAGGTACTGAGTAATACTCCTCTAGTCTTTCCTGTCCACAACCCCAACACTAATCTCGTGCGTGTCGTGCGCATCGGCACCTGTGTCAGGGGGTATGTACTGCGGGACGAACCGTGACAAAGAGCTCTGTCTCTGAACAGAGGAAAGAAGTCGAAGACGGAGGATCGTTCAGGACACCTTTTTTTCATTTGTACTAGTTCCACATCGGTTATACATAGGTCATCCTTCCGCGGTTGTTTGAGAAAACGACTGACTTTTGTTAAGACTCTCAACCTCACACATCTCTACTGTCTAGCTTCCCGTTGCCCGGAGTTGTGACCGTCATTTCAATATGAACACAGGTATGTTGTCATTCCGAAGCTCAAGGAGGCGTTGGCCGACCGGCTTCTACGTGTCCGAGATCATCACTCCCTCTCTATAGCGCCTAGAACACCAACTACATCACCAACTAACTATTAAATAAGAATATCTCGCCCCGTACAAAAGTCAACGCGCGGTACGAGCTCCACCGGAGTATTTCGAGTAGTCCCAGTGTGTGGAAGGCTTCAAGGACTGACAGTGTGCCAAGGGATGTTTAGGTCTTCAAATGGGTCTCGGAGTCAAAGAACGGCTTCGAGGGCGCCAAGAACTCCCAGTGTGTCGAAAACACCAACTGCGTCGGGAGCCCCAGTCAACGCTCCTCGTTGTTCGAGAGCCTATTCGCGAGCATCCAGTGTCTCCCAGTGGCTGGAATGCGCATACACCAATAGCCGAGAAGAGCAAAGTAGCGTGTAGTGAGAAAATTCCCAGCCAGAAAGAACAAACTCCCAGCCAGCGAGAGTACAGGTGGGAGAGGTACGACCCACACGAGGGATAGTATGAACTCCGGGAGGGGCGGTACGATCACAACGTGACGTTGTATGAGAGGATACGCAAGGAGAGGCGGTGTGCTCCGGAGGGGTATGACTCTGGTGCTCGGAGGCATGCGGGGTCACCGGGAGAGTTCTACTCATGGATTCGAGACTGCGAAGAGGAGTCTTAAAACAGTAACGGAGAGTACGAGTATCCTAGTCCGAGCACAAACTATGCCATCCTCTCCCATATCACCAACACGGAATCCAACGTCCCGGGGAAAAGGCCCTGAGTGGGTAGTGCGTGCAGCCAGGACGAGGGCATGCAGCACAACCAGAAGGAGAAGGATCACCGTAACCGGAATGGGAAGAGGAACTCGCTGAGTCAGAGACGGCGCGCGAAGCGGTGGTCGAGCTCAAGCAGTGCGGCGAGTGGCAAGAATGCAATCCCAGTCGCACCAAAGCGTGAGTTTGGACTTCGTTGCGTTTGGCTCATGTGCGAGTGCGTCTGCGCCCGTGATAAGCACCTCTACCCTCAGCATTGGCAATAGCATGAGAAGTGTGAACATGATCACCGTCCAGTGCTTCTTCCCATTCTCAATAACATCAAGAGTCGTCTCGACAGCGCCCAAAGTCGACCCTAAGAGCAAGGTTGCTCGCATCCCAGGGTTCACCTAAGGGGCTACGGTCCTGTTGAATCAGCTTTATGGCGATTCGGGTGCTCCAACTATGGCGGCAGGAGCAGGTGCGTCAACGACAGCTATTGTAAGGACGACAGATCCGAGACGACGAGCAGTCATAAATCTAACGAGGCTGGCACCGATATCGCTCGTTCCTATAACTGATGTTTCCGCAAAAGATTCGCCGATGAAGGATCTGGCATCGTCCAGGAATAGGATGTGTCGAAGCAGCCCTTATCGAAAGACGTATTGACGTTGTATATCTCTGCGCCTTCGATACTGGATACCGAGATGCGCCAGTCGTCTTTGCCGCAGATTCAGGTGAAGGAACTCTCCACTCGTGGATGTCTCCATGCGTGAGGTGGGCAAATCAAAGCGTGGTTGCTCAAGGGAGGAGCTGTATGTAGGGGGAAAGTCGACCGGGGACTTGATGGGCGATCCTTCGATGGGAACCCTTTTGATTGATATATCGAATATATCGAAGGATGTGACAGCTACTTTAACACCTCCACACGCTGCTCGTACTTCGTATTTCGGTGCTGGTGTTGACTCTTATACGTCGATCACTCTCTCCGTCATGGGACACTTCTCAATGAATATCTCGAATATCTCTATGAATTTTGCTGCTATCTTGATCCTACCACCACTTCGTTCTACATCTTCTCTTGTCGTTGTGGGTTTCCAGTCTTTGATTGCTACCACCGTCGCCTCCTCGACCACGACCCCTACGACCTCCACCTCCCGCACCACTACCGCCATCTCCACTTCATTACGTACGGCCACCACCATTCGCGCGCGCAGGAGTAGTCTTCTCGTCGGCACTGTCATCGATTCCATCTTCTCGTGTTCATCCGGCCAGGGACTTCGCTCCCTTTGTCTATCTCGAATGCCTACTACTGCTACTCCTCGTAAGAATTCCGTATCTGCGACTAGAAATGATGCCGAGATCCTTCCCGTCGTCTGCTTATTGGATTTCAATTGATTTTTTCGTATGTCACCACGAAGGAGATATACGAAAAATTGGAAGATGACATTATGTCAACGACGCCAGCAGGATTTGAACCTGCGCCCTCAAAGAGGAACAGATGAAATCTATTTCCATTCAATGTAAGTAATAATTCTAATCTGTCGCCGTAACCACTTGGCTATAGCGCCTTGCATCTTCCTAGAGTTCGGAAGATCGAATCAATGAGGGAAATGAATCTGGTGAGGAGAACAAGCAGCACACCGCGAAGCACAGATTTTCAGGTGACCTGAAAATTAGCGATAAACTCTAAGATTATATAATATTTTCAGAGTGACTGAAAACTAAACTTAAATCTACCAATTTTGTCGTACCTATACTTTGACCGAATTTACTGTATTAAGACAGAGTTTATTGTTTACTAAAACCATGACATAAAACTTGAGTTTCAGTCAGACTGAAAACTTTTGTTAAATTTACTAGTTTCGGTCAAAGTTTAGTAATAACTAAAAATATAAATTTTGACTATGCCAAAATCAGTTCCGAATCGGATAGTTTCGACATATGATTTCAGTCAGCCCTAAGT